AAAGCACAGGTTGATCGAGAAAAATGGATCACGGACCTCTTTTGACAAATCAGTTTACTTTTCTGAGCCTTGGGCAAAGAGCTGAGAGTCGAATAGACCCAGATTATTTCCATGCACACTCTGCGACCTTCAGGTCTGGTCTCCACTGGGCTGGCTGGGTAGCTGATGTCAGCTGGGGTGAGATGGAGGTGACTAAGGGAAAGGCTCCTTTCAAGAGGACAGGTCTGTTCCAGAGAAACGCTGCGTGTGTAGGAGACTACGGTGTTCACCATCAGTGCAACAATCCTCTTTGCACATCCAAAAGAACAAATTAAATGTGTCAATTTCATTTTTTAGTTGTTTTAAATACTGAAACAAATTGTTTTTCTTTTTGGGGTGCTGGGGATCAAACTTAAGGTTGGTATGATATGCCACTGAGCTATATCCCAGCCCTGAACATTTTTTAAAAGTAAAGTAAGAACAGGAACTCTTTAGCCGGAACTGTGAAAATCCATGCTGGAAATAACCATTTTCTGATTGACAGAAACTCAATCATCAACCAGTTCAGGGATAATGAGTATGCTATTAAAGCCCAAGGCAGTGTTTGGATAAAGATGTACTTAAAGACGTCATCTAATCCTAAAATTACAGAGACCCATTAGCAGTTGTCAGGACCAAGATCACAAAAGACAGTAGAGCATTTCAAAGTATGAATATTTGGGAAAAATACATAAATATGAATAGTGTGTACATTAGTGGGGTGGACTGTTTTGCTTGGTTTATTGCACATGAAGACCTCAATTTCCATGAGAATTCAAGGAGACAAATAGCATTTATTTTCTATTCTTGTCTTTCTCTGTGTACAAGTTAAGACCTTCACTGCACTTCTGTTTACACACGCAGAGATACAACACAGTTGAAAACCAGTCTGCCCCAAACTAAAAAACACACTGGAATTTATGTTTCTGAATTCCATACCTCAAATGCTCCCACAGATAATGTGCTATGTAATGATGCTAGTAAGGCAAGCGTAAGTTAGTGCTACTGATAAATATAATAATGGAGGCTTATTTAAGGTGATGTAAGTATTTGCACAATAAATCTATATTTTCAGGTTTTATCTATTAGGTTTTAAAACATCTGGAAAAATACAGGCAGGTTTTTATCGACAGCAAACGCTTTTGCAATCTTCACAGTAAAAAGATTCAGAATAGAAAATATCTAGTTATTAAATAGTTCAAAGCACACTGTATTTTTAAAAGCTTTTCGTTTGTGTAAATGTCCTTTAACAAACATAAAATTTCAAAATCTGCAAATATTGTATTATCATAACTATGTAAGTGAACAAATAAAACTTAGAACTATTATGTTATCTTTACAGAAAAACTTGTGTGGACTCACACTGGGTAGTGAACACACCAACTGCCTCATAAGAGAAATGGACTACATGCTGAATGTATTTTGTTACAGGCAGTCCAATGAAAAGTTACTTATTTAAACAAAATACATTAAACTGATGATCATAGAACAATTTAAAGATTTTCATTACACTAATATCTGACTCCGTAATGCAAACCTAGGCTCCACTATAAAAATTCAGTTTTACTAAAGACATACTAATAACTTTAAAAACACTAAGGCAAAGAGTCTTTTGCAGCCAATACATCCGAATGCCAGACAATCCTAATTTCCTTTCCTTTTATGTGTGTAGTGTGTGCAGAGCATGCATGGATGTATGCGAGTGTGTGCCTGCGTGTGTGCACGTGTGGGTCAGGAGACAACAGATACTCCAGCTGCTGACCTCCCCCTTATTTAAGGCAGCGTCTCTGCCCACACAGGGAACGTACTGTTTCAGAGACACTAGCTGGCCAGCATGCTCCAGGGACCTGCAGGATTCTGCACCCACAGTGAGGTTACAGGCACGCAAGTCCACGCCCAGATCCACGCCCAGATCTGCACAGTGCTCGGGTTGTTATGAGATCTGGTCATTACGTCCACAGAGCAAAGGTTCTTACACAACAAGCCAAGTCTTCAGCTCCATGGTTTTATTATTAGTATCATCATCTTTGATAAAGAGTCTCACTAGGTAGCCCTGGCTGGCCTGGAACTTACTAAGTAGACCAGGCTGGCCCCAAACTCACAGAGATCTGCCTGCCTCTGCCTCCCGAGTGCTGGGATTGGAAATCCCATGAGTCATCATGACCAGTTCCATGGTTTTATTCACATGAAAAAAAAAAAGATATTGTTCACTCTAAATGTCAGAAATATTCATCTTGTTTATACGTATCTCCATTATTCAGAAGTTAACGATAATGGTTTTTCCTATTTGATCCACGGACGTTATTCAGAGGTTAACTATAACAGTTTTTTCCATTTGATCTATGGACAGCTGTCTTTTCCCACAATGGAAATATTTCCTTATGTGTGTCTTCAAGAGCACAGTCTTAGGTTCAGACAGACTACAGTTTACATGTAAGCTGCTGCTGGCTAACACTGAGGGTGACCTGACTTCACAAGTGCAGTCCTTTCTCTTCAGCTACAGGAAGGGCCTGCTTTGCCATCACAATTCTAAAGGCTAAAATTGATACGGCGAATAAACTTGTAATTTTACTTCCCATCTTACAAAGATTCAAAACCATTTTATTTCAAGAATACATAGTAACAGGGCTGGAGAGATGGCCCGGCAGGTAAGAGCATTTGCTGGTCTTACAGAGGACCGGGGTTCGGTTCCATGTAACAGCAGGATGGTTCACAATTATCTGTAACTCCAGCTCCAGGGGATCCGATGCCCTCTTCTGGCCTTCACATGCACTAGCCACATACACGGCGCATAAACATACACGAAGCACTCACACAAACATACATGAAGCACTCACACAAGCATACATAAAGCACTCACACAAACATAAAGAATATACTGAATTTCTTCAAAAGTCATTACTACTTTATAAGATGTATATTATATATAAACCCAGAATATCAATTAAATACCCATTATTTCCTCCATAATTCTCAATTTCTTAATAATTTGTAATCCCTGAGTTGAAGGAAACACTGCAATACGTCTTTTACTAGGACAGCGCATGCTTCAACTTAAGCAAAAGAAGACCAGGCTTTTAGGAGAAGGAAGGAAATCTATGGACAGACTGAACAACCACCTAAGATTGTTATGGGCTTAGGACTGGGGGTATGTGAGCAGTTCTTTGCTGTGCACACGGGAGGATCTGATTTTGATCTAACCCACATAAAAGCCAGGCTTGGTGGGGAGACTTGTAATTGTAGCTCTGTGGTGACTGGGGCTGGGAGGAGGGGCAATGGTGTGAGGTGAGGTGGGGATAAGCAGATTCCTGGGGCTTGCTCATTAGTCAGAGAGTTTTGGGTCAATGGAAGCCCTGTCTCAGAAAACAAGGTGGTGGCTGGAGAGATGCCTCAGCAGCTAAGGGCACATACTTCTTACAGGTTAGGTTCTAATGTCTTTGTCTGGCATCTGAGAGTATTATATTCAAATTCACAACATCATATTCCTCATCGATACAAACAGTTAATAATAAAAATCTTAAAAAAAAAAAAAGGTGGATGGCTCCTGAGGAACACACAACACCCAAGACTGATCTCTGGCTCCAGACACACACAGAGGCACATGCAACCGCACACATACATATGAATAAGCATCCTCTGCACACACATGAAGGCCGCTCTCTGGCTCTACACATACACAAAGGCACATGCAACTGCACACATACGAACAAACATCCTCTGCACACACATGAAGGCCAATCTCTGACCTCCAGATAAACACAGAGTTACATGCGTCTGTACACATATGAACAAGTATCCTCTGCATACACATGAAGGCTCATCTCTGGCCTCCAGATAAACACAAAGGCTCTTTACACACACTAACAAGCATTCTCTGCACACACAAAAGACAGCATTTCCTCAATTCTGTTACTCCTTACTCTATATAGAGAGCATTATAAAGTTCCTTTCAAATAGCTACGACAAAGGACTATACAATTATAACAAAGAAATGGGAAATAAAGCTTTCATCCTAAAACAGTTCAGGATTTGGCCAGTTTGGTCTACACATAAGTTCCAGGGAAGCTGTGTCCATGTCTGTATGTGTGGGTTTAATTGAAAATCTATGAGGCTAGCCAATACGACACAGTAAGAGTATGCTGTATATAACTTATGGAGTTGATTTTATGCTTTTCAAATTAAAAATGTAATAAATGGATTGTTTAATCACTTCACACTCATTACCTGATTCATCTATTTTTGCTAGGTCCATTTTATAGACGGCATAACTCAGACTAGGGACAATGCCTCAACTCATAGACACGAAAAGGTGTAATCAATTCAAATCTAGCCTGACTTTAAATCTACCTATATACCATGCTTTTAGAAACGCAGATCTCAAACTATTTTAAACCACATATGCCTGCCAGTTACTATAAAACCTGCTTTGGAAGCTGGTGGTCTGAGTTCACCTGGTACCAAGCTAGGTCACCTCCCTGAGCTTAGTGTGACCCACTGCTTCTGAAACCCACAAGCCAGGCATTTCCTGAGGCCTCCACTGAGACAGTACTCATCACATAACACTGCCTGACCCTGAGCGTTAGAGTTAATACATGCACTGTGGAGTGCTGGCATAGAGGGGACTTGGGCATGTTGTATAGGGAGGACTTGAGCATGCGGCAGGGAGGACGTAGGCATGCTGTAGGGAGGACTTGGGCGTGCTGTAGGGAGGAGGATTTGGGCATGCTGTAGTGAGGACTGAGAATGCTGCATGGAGGGGCACTTGGGCATGCTGTAGGGAGAACTTTACAGCGCACTCTGACTGGGAGGCTTTGATGGAAGAGTGAACAGAAACTGACAGAGGAGCTAATATGGCCTAGATGTAAAGGCTTGGCAGTGGAAATCAGACTTGTAGAATGGTTTAATAGCCCTTTTTTATTTTAAGACACAACCTTAGGTATTTTAATTCACTTATTCTCTCAGACACACACAGATTTACTAACCTTCCACATTCATGGCTTCTCTCAGAACCTGAAGCTTCTTTTGTCTCTCTCGAATTCGGTCCAAGGCGCTTGATACTGCAGAAGATGTTGGCGTGTCTCGAGTGTGATATGCTGGCTCCGCTCTCTGAGGCCCAAAGATATCCAAGGCAATGCTTCCATCAGAGTACCTGGCCTCCTTCTTTCTAGGAGTGGCTGAAGTCCGTCCTGTTACCGCCTCAGGGTCACAGTGCTGGGACCTGCCAGTCTCTCCAGAAAAGTCCCTGTCAGCCGTACAAAGCAAGTCCATGGACGAAGCCCAGACCTTTCTCTTAGAGAACGTGTCCACTGCAGGGAAAGCCCGTTTTTGTGGACTGCTAGTTTTGAACTGGTAAGGGGAACAGACAGTCTCAGAATCTTCATGCCTGGAATTATTATCAGATGGGATATCCTTGAAATAATCTTCCTCATCTTGTGTGTCTCTGATGGACAGAAATCCCATAGATTTACTAAGCCCTTTGTTAAGAAAAGTCTGATGAGAGAATGGAGCCTTGTGTATGTCTAGTACATCAGAAGTGGAGCTTCTTCCTGGAATGATAAGAATCTATCATGTATGCGCAGAATCTTTAGAAAGTCAGCAAGAATGTAACCCACCACTGATAAACACAGCAGTTCCCTAAATTATCCACGTGGAAGATCAGAGACGAAATGACTACGGTAATCGTGAGCGTGGAACATGTGGAAACAGAGCGCAGAAATCCTTGAGGCCAATGTCTCTTTGCTCTGCTATGACATAATGGGGCCCTTGTGCATGCGAGAACTGCACCACTGAGCCATGCCTGCATCACAAGGTCTCTCAGGGAAGAAGGACTGCACCACTGAGTGCCTGCCTCACAATGCCTCTTACGGAATAACATAAATAGCGTACTGAACCTACGCTTCCGAGTAGTACTATTTCCATCATCAGAAGTAAATTATTTGGTTTTCAAATAAAGATAAAAGTTGTTAATAACATCTACTTTTGTAGAACGGTAATTGTCCATGAAATTAGGGAGATAATATAATGCATAACATACTCTTTTAACTTGTAAAAATATAACTTAAAATATGTTTCAGGTATAAAGTCCTGGTATTTCTGATCTTTTAAATAAATATGTTTGATTGAAAAATATAGAATTCTTTCTATTCTGCATAGGAAGAAAACTGCAATACATGGAATTATCAAGTTCAAGAAAACTTTACCATATCTGAAACCAAGATAATTTCCACCTAAATTGATAAAGAAGCCCAATTTTTCCTAACACACTAGAGACTAAAGTTCCCCCTTAGAATGGAATGCACACTATTTGCCAGCAGCAGCACCAATGCTAGGACTGCCTCTAGAGGCCAACAGAGCTAGAACCAGGTAGGCATCCTGTGGTTTAAAGGTCGATGGAGACACACCAGAAATGTCCACTCAGCTACATCAATTCTATGAATCAACGGACTCAACAACCAAAATGGTATTTGTCCAGTATTGAAAAAAATGGAACTATTTCGAGTTTACTACATCAATAGCCCTAAACATTGACAACTTTCTCTGTCCACCAAACAACACTGGTCTTCAGTTACCGTCTCTGCTATGGGCGCTTACAGTGCCAGTGTTTCTCCCTTTCATTGAGCCTTTCCCGTTAATACACAAATACCATCTTTCTCAAAAGCCAGACAAGAGCAAGACAAACTCCTCCCATTTGCTCACCCCCTTGCAGCTACTGTCCCCAGTTCCTCACGCTTTGCTCACGAGGTCCCCTACTGGACAGGCTCCAGCTACTCCGCACCCGGGTGCCCATCACACACCACTAGTGGCCTCCACACTGCCAAAGCTCAGAGACTCTACACCAGGTGAAGCCTTACTCTTTCCCGCCTGGCTCCCCTGCTGGGGCTGCTTGTCCCTCTCCAAATCCTTTATGTGTGCTCAAATGTTGGGTTTCCTCATGTATCAGGTTCAGAACTCCTTTTTACTTTTTGTCTTTTCCTTATGAAATTTTATTAATAATATTAATAAAAATAAAAAATATGACCTGGATTTGAAAAATTCTCACGTTTTCTTTCTTAATACCGATCTTTTTGGGGAAGCTCCAGTCTTAACACAACTAGCGCTCCTGCTCCCATGCCTGAGGAGCATCTCAAACTGTCCAAGGTTCCAACTCGTCTTGTTTTCTACTTCCAGTCTTTCCTAACACTGGTTACTCAAAACGGAAACATGGGCACTTAAATGACTCATCCTCCTTAAGCTTCCTCAGCAATTCTGCTCAGCATTCTCAAAGACACCTTACTTCATGTGTTAATTTCCAATCCCATCTCATCAAACCCAGTTAACGATGCTGAGAGGCAAGCTCACTGTTGAGCCCTGAGATTAGTTGCTTCTATGAACTCCATCCAACAACCAGAATTATCTTTTGCCAATGCCAGTTCCACCACGTCACTGACCTGTTCAACAAATCAGACAGCCTATCATTCATGAAATGGAAACCTCCCAGCCCTGCACCTGGTGCATCTCCTTCCTCACTTTATCCAAGATGCAGGCTCTCTGTTGACCTCTTATAAATAAAAATACTTTTCTGCCTCTTCTTTTCCAGATCTTTCTCATGTCCAGTTTCTTTGCATTCAATTGTTTTATTTTAATCTTTTCAAAAATAAACTGTTAATAAGTAAGTTAATACTTACTTATCTTGATGTGCACGGGTGCTTTGCCTATATACATTTAAGTGTGTCACATGTGTGCAGAGCCTCCAGAGGCAGAAGACGGTGTTGGATCACCTGGAACTTGAGTTACAAAAGGTTGTAAGCCACTTTGGGATGCTAGGAATTTAACTCGGGTCCCCTGGAAGAAGCCAGTACTTGTAACTGCTGAGCCATCTCTCCAGGCTCCCATAGTTTTATTTTAAATGGGACTTCCTAAAATTAGCCAACCCTAATGTCACTGTAATATAAATAAAACACTTACCAAATAGATTTCAAGTCTCTTCGACCTGTAAGAGGTAAGTATATGCCTGCATTAGATTGTTACTATTTACTAGCAATATATTAGTTGGTCATGGTATCTCCAGGAAGCATGTCTTTTCCATGGCAACACAGGCCTAAATGAAATGCTGACTACACACCTTTCAGGAGTTGCCGATTTACAGACAGGGTCCAGTGGTTGGTATGAAAATAAATTAGATACAGAAATATATCAGGATATATCTATTGAAAGTCCAAAAGGCTAAGGCCAACTTGGGTTACATATTAAGACCCTGTCTCAAAGAAATAAAAAGTGGGGCTGGGGAGATGGCTTAGTGGTTAAGAGTACTCTCTGCTCTTATGGAGGACCTGGGCTCAGTTTGCAGTCCCTCCAGGGTGGCTCACACTGTCAGTTCCTGGAACCCTCTTCTGGCCTCTGTAGGCACTACAGACATGTGGTATACATACAAGCAAAAACATTCACACATCTAAGAGGAGAGCAGTAGAAGAAATGAGCTATAAGGGCGGAACGAGAAGGTGGCATGGACGGGGAGGGAGGGCATGACGGACAGAAAAGAGGGAAGGAAAGAGAAAAAATATCACGAAGCTTTAGAAAGCACAGAAAAACATACTGTATAAGCCTACTTAAAATATGCATGTGCATGCATACATTTGTGTATACACATACACACGTACACACACACATATACATACATACATTTTTAATGGAGTTATGTAACATCTAACAAAAATTCCAGCATCAGGCATGGGAACCCCCACACCTCCTGAATTGCTCTTTGAGGGAATACGTGAGTCTCCCAAAACAACACAGACTACTGACGCTGCCTCTGTTACCTTCCCCAGAAACTGAAAAGACAGACCCTCCTGCTGAGGATCCACACACTTCAGACACAGGACTGGGAGAAATAAAGCTGGAACTGACCCAGGAAGTCCCTCTGATGACTGGCTTTTTCGGTACGGGAAGGCGCTATGAAGCTTGCCTAGTATGAGGAGCAAAACCTACAAACAAAAGGCTAATGCAAAGTCTATGAACCAGTGACTGGCCTGGCAATTATCTCTAATTGAAAACGGTTGATGCTACCGGTACATATGCACATAGCTGTATATATGTAACAATAACTAGAAGTGGTCAATGCTACCGGTACATATGCACATAGCTGTATATATGTAACAATAACTAGAAGTGGTCAATGCTACCGGTACATATGCACATAGCTGTATATATGTAACAATAACTAGAAGTGGTCAATGCTACCGGTACATACGCACATAGCTGTATATATGTAACAATTAGAAGTGGTCATGAACTTGGGAGGGAAAGGAGGAAGTGAAATAAATGCAATGGTCATGTATGAAGTTATCAAATTAAATTAAAACACATTCATACAAATAAAACAAAAATAAATCTTAAAAAAACAAGAAAATACATAGTGAAAATAAAACAATCTACTTAAAAAGTTTGTCACAACTTTGTTTTGATCCTTCAAATATGTCAACTATAACTATGGTGGAATTTGTTCTTGAAGTTTTCAAATCATATCTGTTAACATTATAATCACAAACCTAAAATTTCATGACAATTACTTATAAAAGCTTGAATCATAATTGAAGTCTACTTTGGTTGCCAAGGAAACCACAAAAAAGATGGTGAAACAGAAAGATCTGAAACGAAGGCAGATGGGATGAGGAAATGGGTCAAAAATGGCAGTGTGAGACAAGTTTAAAGCCAGAGGAGTACACACTTGTCATGAATGATCCAATGGAAAGTATAAGCATCGTAAAGTTATGAGTTACAAAAATGTTGAAGAACATTGTGGGTAAGACAAGAAAAACAAAGCTAAGTGGCTTTTTTCCTGCATCCCTTTGCCCATGAATGGCTTTATTTGAATTCTGGAATTAAAAGGAGCCATGTTCTTAGGTAGGTGTGTAGGCACGTGGTAAGAAGGCTGATGTCAGACAGCCCAAACAACCCATTTTTAAACCAGATCTTCCTATCTGGCAGCATCACCATATTCTGTCACATTAATGATGCTGTACAACCAGACACATAACTGCTGATTTACATTATAGGATGAAAAGCTGTGTTTTATAAAAGAGGGTTATTTATGTACAATAAAGGATACAGTATAAAATAATAGTAAGAATTCTGAAAATCACAAATCTTACTAAATAAAGTAAAGGCATACTATAGTAGTGTAGTTACTTTATGTTGCTAAGGCACTAAGGAAAATTCACCAATCCAGTAACTTAAAATATGAGTTCAAATACAGAACCTCTCCATACTGGTGAGAAGAAATACCGTGTCCTAGGCTAGACTGACTGATGCCCGAGTCTGCTGGCTAAAGAGCTCGTGCTGATAACAGCACTGTTCAGTCATTTGTACTGGAGACAGAGCAGAGTGTGTACCACTCGACCGCTTTCCCAAATCTCTAAACATGTGTGCAAGCTACACATGCAATAAATACCACTGCAATCATCGGTAAAGCACGGCAGCTGTGGGCACACCTATGGTGACAGCATCGCCACTAGGGCTGCTGAGCTTTAGAGGAGGAAGAAATAATGAAAGTTCCTCACCCTGACACACT